GGGGGGGGGGGGGGGGGGTAGATGGCGACAATGAGAACCAAAACTGTTGGGATGGTTCGCGACAGCTTCCCAAGACAAAGTCCTTTGGCCATGTGACAATCGGCGTTGTTTGACGTAAGCAAGAATAGCCTCTTGATCCGATCAAGTACCTTGATCACGCACACCACAAAAACACGATCAACTACCGACCCTCGCAAAAAGACTGGTTACATCCCGGACTGGTATCTAGTCTTTCTGTGAACGTATGCATGTATTCTCTAAAACACGCAAAAAAAAATTGCGGAACATGCTTTCATGTGTGGAAGGGTCTGCAACTACCGACCCCCTGCAGCAAAACACACACGCATACCACCGTACAGTACCTGGGTGTGCAGAAGAGGTGGGAGGGTGTCCGACGTCGCCACGGGTAAGGGTTGCGCAGCCCCGAGGTGATTCGGTCCCGCCGCCAGCAACGCCCTCACCGCACCCATGTCGAGCTCGTCCCCGTACAGGGCAAGCGACCCGGCCTCACCCACAAATCCTTCGCAGAAGCAACACCTGGGTCGCGGAGAAGAGCAGCGGTTGTTGTTGTTGTTGTTGTTGTTGTGACCGCAGTTTGGGCAAGGCGTCGGCGGTTGCGGAGAGGGGGGGGGCGGCGGTTGTTGTTGAAACCGCAGGTTGTGCAAGGTTAACAAGATAGGCACCTCGGCTTAGTTAACAACAGCTTAGGAAGCCTTCCAAGCTCGGCCTGTTTCGGTTTTCCATGCTAAATGGAATCGCCTCGACAGTACTGACAGCAAAACGCCTCCGTCTACCGTAGGTTGCATAAGATACCACATCCCCCGGACCGATTTTCAAAGCTCAACTACTCCACGACGAAGAACACGTCAAAATAAAATGATGCGTTTTCAGAAAGCTCTCGACGAGACGGTTGCAACGCCGCCATTTTAGGCACCGTTGCTGCTTTTCCTGCGGAGTAATCGATCTTTGAACATTGGTCCAGGGGGTGTGATATCTTATGCAACCTACGGTAGGGCAGTGGTACTTCGAGACACGGGAAGTCCGTACGGGTACAAGCACACAGTGCAAGTCATCAATACCGGTCATTGCCACCGTCCGCACGCCATGTGCACAGCACGCAAACATTTTACGGAACCGGCAAACCGCGCCGATCAAAAGAACAGCACACCAAACCACAACAAAAAACATCCACGTCCATCTTTGAACGGGTATTGTAGTCTTTCTGTTAATAAAATATACGCGTTAAAAAAAAAACAAGAGAAAGGCCGTCCTTTTCCCGCACCTTGACATGGGATCCTTGGAGCCCTGGCCCGTCGCCGGGGGGTAATGGAGCTCGGTGTCGAGAACCACTCCCCCGTCCACCGAGACCCTCAGCCGCCCAGACCTCTTCACGTACGGCTGCCCGTGGCTCACCGCGACGAAGCGCCACCCGTCCTGCCTTCCCCCGTCCCCCACGCCGCCCCCGCCCAGGTGCACCGCCTCAGCCGGCGGCCCAAACTTGCAGCGAGCGCTGAAGCTCTTGCGCTGGAATGACGTCACCACTATCTCTCTCCTCCCCCGCGGCGGCG